ACAGTATATAAAAGAACTATTTAAATAAGATGTTTGAAAATATATAGCTGTTTTGCACACATCAATTCAATTTGTGATTAACTGTACTGAAATAAAAACAAATTAAGAGAAATGGGGTGATCTATCAACTATAACATGAAAAGCATCATCCTATTTCCAAGTCTTCTATTAATTTCACTTATTAAACAACTATAATTATTCAATAATCTTGATAATTCTAGGAACTCTCAGATATCGTCAAAACATGAAAACAAAAATTTACTTCCTATAGTTCTTACGTCCCTTTAATTGAAATATAAGAAACAGGGGAGTTAATATTCTCACTGAGAAAGTTTATAAAATACCTTTAAGTAAAATCTCTTCGGATCTGCGGTAAAATACCTTTATTCTTGATAAATAAATTCAATAATCTATGTTTTTATTTATGACAACCACCTAATAACCTAACTTTAACGTCAAGTTGACAATCCTGAAAAATATTATTGTTAACCAAAGAGTAAATCAATTCCTGAATTCGCTAACGCCAACTTATTTTTCATTAAAAAAAAATTACCAATTTTCGTAACTAGGTCGGCCATATTGAGGAACTTTTAAAAGAATAGTACCGTATGATCGAGAAAAAACGGCGTCAAAGGCGGCTGGGGAATGACTATCGATGCTATTTTTGACGAGGTCGAACTCTGCTCAAAGTTAATTAACTTTATTTTGATTTTTTTAGTTAATTAAAATTCTTCTTCTTTTCACTTTAAAGATCTTCAAATAAATTAAATTTTAATTAAAATGAATACTAAATGTAGAAAATCTAGAAGACAATAGTAAGTTTCCGGATACAGAAATCTATATCCAAAAATTATTTTTTCTGATAATTTGAACTATACCAGTTTTAATTAATAAAAAATCTATATTAGGTAAATCTAGTAAATCGTAATTAATACTAAATGCCTCTTTAAAAGTAAAGAAGAGAAAAATCAAAAGGCTCTAACCTAACAATCGCCCGTCCCAGTTCCAGGTATTTCGATAACTCTTAGAGTCTGCTTAGAGTTAACAAAATCAGATTATTCTACTGTTAAAATGTATGGATTATCCTTTTGTAATTGTCTAATATAGACTAGACCCTTCAGATTTAGTAAAACTGTAGCTGTAAACCAGTTATGTGTGTTCATTACTATACATGGAAGAAGTATCGTGTTTATCAACAAGGTTAATTGTAGGCCTTAAATTTTGCTTAATATGGTCATATTTTGTAATATTCAACTCATAATTGTTGATACTTCTGGTGGATGATATTCAATTTTATACAATATGTATAAAATATAAACACACTAAATTGAAGTACTAGAAACGGTAAGGTGGGATATTTTTACGAATCTGTATTATTACTTTTTTTATAGAATATCTACAGCTGTGTATAACCTCTAAGAAACAAATTAAATGAACAAAACTATGTCCAAGAAATAGTCTATTGTATAGAGGATTTAAGGAAAACCTTAAAATGTTTGTACAATTTGTTTTTGAATTTCTTCTAGGTTTCTGCATCTTCGGTCAGTGAAAGTAGAAATATCATCAGCAGTTTTTTCAGTCCATAAGATTCAACATTTAAAAATACAGGGATACTTAATCATTAATAGATTCTTTTCTTATGATTGACATATGCATATTAATTGTTTTCTTATAAGTTATGTTACAATGAAACTCACTTTATAAGCAGTATAATATAGGTATTTATTTTCTTTCGAATGGTATTACAAAATATTTTTTACTGCGAACCCTACTAATTAATATACTATGCCTGGTTCAAGAGTCTAAATCTGTACTTATTACAATATCATTTAATTTAATAACAAACCTAAAATATTTGTCTGCGACTTACTAAAAAAAACAATTATGATTTTCGAAAGTGATTAATACAGCTTTTTGTAAAATTATACATTACTTTTTGATGTATGTATTATATTAATTCATTTATTTACTTGAATTGTTCTAATGTGTATATTATTTCCTACAATCTACCAGTAGTTACAAAAGTTAAGTATGTAAATAAATGACTTAGGAGCCTAAAATTATTGAGATTAAATAACGTAATATATAAGTAAATAAAATTGACAATACACCAATAAAATATTTTAGCAATAACCATTGATTCCTGCATGGAACTTTGCTTGAACACAGCATCACCAATTTTGTTTTCATTAAATTCTCTATGCAATAGATTATTTCTTGGACACAGTTTTGTTCATTTAATTAATATGCTTCTTGGAAAACAGAAACTTAGGCATACACAGAAACAGATACTCTATAAGTAAAGAAGTAATAATAAAGGGATTCGTAAAAATAACTATCTCACCTTATTGCTTCTAGTACTTCAATTTGGTTTGTTTATATTTTATATATGTATAAATTGAACATCATCCACCAGAAGTATCAACAATTATGAGTTGAATATTGCAAAATATGACCATATTAGGCAAAATTTAAAAGCCTACAATTAATTTTGTCGATAAACACGATACTTCTTCCATCAACTGATTATTTACTGGTATTAAACACACATTTTAATTTACAGCTATAATCAACGCAATATTAGTAAATCTGAACGGTCTAGTGTGTATGAAACAATAATAAAAGGCTAATCCGTACATTTTAACAATACAATAATCAAAAATGTTGTCGAAATGTCTCGGTCGGAGGCTTGTCGGACGACAAGATTTAGTTAGGTTAGAGTCTTACTGGTCTTGCTCTTCTTTATTTTTAAAAGCGTTTACTGCATTAAGGATGATTTAATATCGATTTTTTTATTGAGTAGAACTGGTGCAGATCGAAACATTTGAAAAAACAATTTTTTGGAAATAGATATGTGTATCTGGAAACTTTCTATTCTTTTCTGGTTCTTCTATATAAGGTATTAATTTTTGACAAATTTTATGTCAGTTCTCAGTAACTGACGTCTAGAGTTCTATCTCGTCAAAAATAGCATCGATAGTCATTCCCCAGCCGCCTTTGACGCCGTTTTTTCTCGATCATACGGTACTATATACGCTTTAAAACTAAATCTTAAATAACTTAAAAACAATTTATTTTATGTATATATGTATAGGAACATGTCAAAAAGTAACGAATTGTAAAGCCTTTTCACTAGTGAAATAAAAAAAGTGGGTTTCCTCTTGAAACAAAATGATTTATGATAATTTTTGAATCGCTGAATTCCATCACAGCTGCTTTCTTATTATATGACATTCGAATTAATTTTTGAAATAAATAACCACATGTCTTCTCTTTATGGCACAGTGGTTGTGGTAATCACGAAATTTGACGTTTAGGCTATACACATATTTTTGACAAACAGCTTTTTTCGTCCAAAAAATTTAATATTTTTTTCTCAGAAACGGTTAATGTTAGATATAGAGTGTGTAATATCAAAATTCATAAAATTTTACGAGGATTTAAGTATGTAATAAAAAATGGGGGCACCCATTTAAAATAAGAAAGTTGCGGTTAACTTCCGGTATTCCTGGAAGTGCCGCCATATTGAAAATATTTTCAATTGATAGATCTCGTTTTGAAACAATGATGTGCAAAAAATCTCCGATCTAGATCTAGATCGGAGATTTTATTAATTTTTTAATTATTAAATATTGTAGTTCTTTAGAAACTCCTAATGCACGCTCAGCCTGGGCACCCCGTATACTGTTTCACTATGTATCCAAAGTTGATACAAAAAAACTGTGCATATAGCTTATATCACTGCCATTAAATGTATCGATTAGTTCCAATATATAATTTAATGTGTCAATGTATCGTTTTAATATATCATACAATTCAATATATCTATCGATATATTTATTCTTTTTTACCTTCCCTAGTATCGACCTACAAAACACAAAAATGCACCTGTTGAATGTGGGTTATATTAGAACGAAAAAAAAGGCGTACGCCGCATTGGTCCCTCAACAATCTTATTAATGATGGTAGATCTGAAGATGGTCAAGGTCGTAGATTTCTTTGGGAAACGTCTAATAATTCGTAAGATTCCTGTGAGAACCTCTTGTAACGGTACCTAACATACTAGGCAGTTAATATTATGGTTTAGGGCTAGCTAAAGCAATTAAAGCATTCTTGTTAAATTGTAATATGTATAACTTTAGAAAAAAAATTATTAAATTTATTGAAAATAATCATTCATTCGTTTTCAATTTTCATTTTTTTGTGAAAAATACCCTCTTAGACGTGTTTCTATAGTCGAAAAACACCACCCATAAAATATTTGCACATATTTAAGACTCACCCTGTATAATAATAATAATATATTCAAAAAACTTTTATTTATATTGCTTTTGAAAAGCCTAAATCAGTGGCGGATACAGAGGGGGAGGGGTATGTGGTTCGAGCCCCCCCCCCCCTAAAATCTATAAATCGGGTTAAATATTAGGCTTTTGGGTTAAAAATGGCGCCTTAAAAAGCATATTCTACATTATTTTTTATTTGGGCAAACACCCCCCCCCCCCTAAAATAAATTCCTGTATCCGCCCCTGAGTCTAAATTATCCCTCGTGAGTACCTACTGTTACTAGAACTGTTATGTTCAACAGAAACCCTATTCAATCATTTTATGAAAATATAGTAAAGCACGAAATAGTCATAATATCATATCATTGTGTCCATAGTAAAAAAAAAGGAAAAAGAAACCGAATATTTAACAATAATTGCCTAATGATAATCTAGCGGACCATAGGTTTCCAAAAAAATAAAATAGAAAAATAGAACTTGAAAGTTACTGTTTTTATTACTAGGTAATTACACTTCAAATTTCATCTTTAGTTGGTTCTCCAAAATAATAAGAAAATTTTCAATATGTGGCAACAATGCCACCCGGTTCTTTTTAGTTCACAAATGTTTTTAACTTTCTACCACTGCAAGAAAATGCAAAGTGTTGTGTGCTTCCCTCTATTGATGCAATCTTAAAGCTCTTTTTGATGTTGTTTAGATTCCTTTCAATTTCCTAACCTCCAATATTATTTACCATTTATCACAGCATTTATTTACCCATGTCAGTGATTGTACACAATGTTTGTAAATGCAATTTTGTTTTTTTAATAACGTTTTCAAGCACTAAATAATTTGTTTTGCAATGACTACAGAACAAGTAAGTTTTAAAGACTTTATACAATATAATTTCATTGAAAATTAATTTAAAATTTTGTATTTATACTTAGGTCTGTTCCATGTTCAAATATCTGGTATTTTTTTATTCTTAATTGTATTTATTATTTATAAATTGTCAAAATTGATAAATACTTCTCATAGTTTTGAAAAATTATGAAATATATTTCAAATTATAAACACAAAAAAAACTGTAAATTTTAAAATTGATTTTACGCCGTAGTTTGGGTCTTTGACACGAGATGGCGGCAGCTACCTGTGTTTGAAAATAAACTAATTTGAATGTGTGTCTACAGGGTGTGTATCCTTGTAAGATCACTTATATCTTCCACTCTAACTACTGAATTTTTAGTGACTAAGTTGTAAAATAATTTATTAAATATTTCTCATTATTTTTGACAATAATAGATAATTATTGGCAAGAATAAAAAGTGGCGGAATGAAAGGAATAAAAAATTTATACTGCATTAACATTTTTTTAATAATAATTAACATTTATGTTTTTTTCTCTTCTAGAAAATCCGTCAAACAATTTCAAACACTGCGAAAAAGGTAACTAACGAATTCGGAATAAATTCTAATATCGAATATAGTGCTGATGCATTGAATCTAATAGGGGAATTTGTAGTTAATCAACTAGGAATGTATGCGAATGATTTGGAAACATTTCAAAGGTACCTATTTTTCAAAAATAAACTTGTTTTGAGTTGACTAGATAGAAATCTTTTGTTTTCGTAATTTTTAAGGCACGCCAAAAGAACACAAATTACAGTGGATGATGTGAAGTTGTTGGTGAGAAGAAATGATTCATTGGTAAGATTGCTACACAGGGTGTCCCAGGAATAAGTACAAGTATTTTAAGGGGTGGTAGATCTCGATAAAAGAACCATATTTTGTCATTACCGTTTTTCAAATAAGTCCAAAATAACGGAGTTATTTTGCTTTGAAAATTTCCAAAAAAAAATGATTTTTTGCTAAAATTTTGAGAACCACTGGATCTTTCTGGATTTTCTTTCTTGTAAATTTAATCTAATACCTATGTTGCCATATTATCAAGAAATTATGATTCTTAACTAAAAAAAGGTTTTTGGTGTTCAATAATGACTACAAAAATATTATCTTATGATATCTTTTAGTATTGCGTATTTAATTTAATTCTCGATTTTATTTTATTTTGAATCAAAAGTTAAATTTGTATTAGCTTGGGCATCTGTTGATATGGTGTATACGGTATTTTACTTTAAATTGTGATAATTTCACGAATAATACTAATATTTATCTGTTTTCAGAAAGAATTCGTAGATGAAAAAATCAAAGTTATTTCGAAAAATAAACCAGCTGAAGCTCCAACTACAAGCAAAAGAAAAAGAAAACCTACCGATAGCACAAGCTAGACGGGTATTTCAATAAGTTTGTTATAGAGATATGAATCTAGTATAAATTGAAAATTTTGTATAATACATTTTATATTTTTGTAATAAAATAATAATACCGAGGGTGTAATTTTCGGTGTTTGTTTTTTTCATAGAATCTTATTACAATTATATTGTTTTTACTAAGTATTTGGAGGAGAGTTAGATAGATATCCGTTCAGATAGAGTCAGATATCGGTTTGGGAGGAGTAGTGTTGGAATTAGAGCGGCTAATGTTTTAGCTTTTACACATTTTTATTTTTTTTTCATAGACTTGGAGTGTTTTTGAGCAGATTTTCAAAAATATTACCTAGCTTTTTTCTCAACTGTAGCCTCAATGTATGAATATCCATGTCCATACCCTTCGGGGTCAAAAGTTCAACCCCATATAGCACGTCCAAATGAAATTACGTTTCTACAAGGGAGACACATGAGAAACAACATATGTTAAAGTGAACCTAAGTGTTCATCTAGTTCTAACATATACATATGAGATACACGCAGGTTTATATTGATAGAATTGTGTGATACATTGTTTACTAGTTGTATACCGTGTGCACACAGGATTCTAAAGAGTTTTTTGTAACGTAACAAATAATTATTAAAATGATGAAATCTGACGTTGGAAAAATATGAGACATACAATGTATAAGTCATATGTATGTGTGGTAGTTCGTATCATAGTTGTGCCTATAGTACACACCTTGTAAAAATGTGACGTATACACATAATATAAATATCTATATAGACACTTTGTAATAGTGTACTGTTGTGTCTACATTCTAGCATGAAATGAAGGTGTGCGCACACGCGGATAGCCTCAGCGTAGATACACCGACCAAGTGTATCTTATGTGTCTACTCTCCTTTCTCCTTTCTAGCAGTGGTATGTGTTAGCAGCCATTATTGTTTTATCATTTGGAAGCTCTATATAAATTTCTGTTTGTGTCTAGTTTAAAAGAGATTTAAAGGTAAGCACAAGTTTTTAATTACCTTGTTAAGTGTATTATTAATATATACATAGTAGCGACTCTTCCCGTACTCGATACCCAATTTACTAAATTTTGACCCCAATGAATAAAAACTCCAAATATTCTCGTATAATGATAAAGAGGTTAGCTCTGCAATATAATTTTTTTTAATTTGGAAATAATAAAAATCTGGTCCATTTACCAGAGAAAGAAAGATTTAAACACTTCAAAGAACTTCTTACACTGATATTCGGTAAGTTATTGACGGATCAATATACAGATATGTTTAATATTCAATAATCAGTTTCATATAAAATTTAAGGGTGAGATTGTTAATCTGGAAATAAAATACAACAAAGTCCAACAGAGTGTTCGATGAATGAGTATGCTAACAAACCAACTGCTTGGAAGGAAAAGAGGAGAAAAAATGACTAAACGAGGTCCACCAAATCGTGGCGATAGGTATACCAGTGTTTACCATTTTAGTATGTTGTTATACTAGGTACCTATCTTTTTAATACATTTTGATACAAATTCTGTTCTTTTACAGTGTTTTCTTTTGGAAAATACAAAGTTTTGCCTTCTTAATTTTCGTTCTAAAAAGATATAATTGGGATCATTGAATAAATAATTCTTAAAAAGAACGAAAAATTAGGCATCAAAACTTGTATTATTTCCTAAATTCGTTCATAAGAAGTAGTTTTATTTAGCAAAAGATGTATATACGAAGCAAAATACATACGTATACACGCGGTAGTCACAACTGCAATGTGTAAACAGAGTTTAAACGTAATATACAAGCACTGTGTATCCTACGGCACACTGTGTATCCCTTACTTTGTGTATACGTAAATTCTATACTGTGGCAACATTGTGAGGCGGACGATTAACCTTTGTGTATACGTGTTGAACTACAATGTGTAAACGTAGCATATTTACATCGGGGGAATTGTGTCACCCTGTGTCTGCATCTAATAATGTATACACATCGTAAATGTGATTTGATGTGCTGTATGGGCGTCTATCTCGACCAAAGAAATATTTATTTCGCCGCCAATGGCCCTTCGAACTAACCCTTTTTCTCATCCGCTCCCACCGAACACCTAATTATAATATTTGCCTAATAAGCGCGCGAGAAGACAGAGACAGAAATGTGACTCACGCAAAAGTAAATTATACATTGAAAAGGCTTTAATATAATGAATTCATTCATATGCATGAGATGCCGGCGCGCGGAGCAAGGAGTACGAAACTACCCCTCCCCCTTCACCCCCTAACCCTTCTGTCGCCCCTCGCAGCCGCGCGACGGCAATATTTGGCCCGGCTCGTAATGAAATGAATTTATGCAAGGCCGTAATGCCGGGATGTTTAGCATACAGCCCTTGCCGAAACATCGAACACAGTGTGTCGGTATGAGGGGGGCATAGCCACGGCGAAAAAGGGCGGCTTGGGATGGTTGGGGGGTTGTGATGCCCCCGTCGCGATGATGCTGCTACGTGAATCCCCCGAGTCTGGATATTAATTGAAACGATGCTCGCCGTGCCGTCGGACGATGACGATGCAGAGGACACGGGGCATTGTTTTAATTATATCTTCGGAATTGATCCGTTTGTTCGGGCAGAAATTGTCCTGTTTTGGTGTTAAAAAGGCGTCGAACTTCAAAAGACACGAAATAAATATTTCCAAAAAAGTCCTATGGGTTATTTCGCGACTGTAAGAAAATCTTCAAAATAAAATAGTTATTTTTGGTAAACACTGGTGCGTTAATCCAACACAAACTAATTGTCAGCAATGGTTTGCTAATAAACAAATTTGCCTAAGGGATAAAAAAATGCTTATCGTTTCGGAAAGTATATCTTTTTTCGTGGCCGGAAGCGAAAAAAAAACACAGAGAAAAAGGAAAAAAATATTTAAAATATCTAAATGCAAGTATTCGAGAACACTTTAATAATTTTTTTACTACCTGATAACAATTACTTAAAAAGGTAAAACCAAAAAGCTTCAACTTTATTGTCCATTATTTTTAATTTGTTTTTAATTTTTATTTATGTTATGTTCTTTAAAATTAAAAAAGCGATTGCCATACATTACTAACATCTACAGATGCATGAGCAATACATTTATTTTTATTAGATTAAGAAGCCTTCTTTCATTATAATTTTTGCCTAGTTAAAATCTACTCTGTGTCCTGTGTCCCATGAATGCTGACAAATCTTTTAGATTTGTGAAAGTCGCCCTTTCAATAATCTTTATGTTCTTTAATTCGAACATTTAAAGGTACATTCAGGCTGAGAGCGTCGAGCGTCGTGTCGCGTTTGCGTCGTGTCCGCGTGTCGAAATGGAATCAATTCACTTAACTTAAATTAGACCGTTCAGGCAGACAGCGTCGCGTTTGGCGTTGCGCTAGCGTCCGCTGAGCGTTCGAGTTCGAGTTCAATGGGGCGGACGCGACGCAAACGCGACGCGACGCTCGACGCTCTCAGCCTGAATGTACCTTAAGGGTCTAGGTGTTTCACCAATATAAAATTTATCATATTCACATAGCATTTTGTCATTTTATATTTTGATATAATGTCAGTTTAACAGAACGTCAACGGTTTTTGTAGACGAATCAGTTTTAAAAAAACTAAAGTGTTCTCGAATAGTTGCATTTAAATAGTTTTTCTTTGTTCTTTGTTTCTTTTTGCTTCCGAGGGTGACACAATTCCCCCGATGTAAATATGCTACGTTTATACATTGTAGTTCAACACGTATGCACAAAGGTTAAACGTCCGTCTCACAATCATAGATAAAAGACTTATACTATTAAATAGATAGGCAACTTATAATACATTTCAATTTTATTATACAAGGGCGCCTCTGGTAGACGGAGGAAGAAATACTAATGAAAGAGAGGGGTGCGGGGAAGGGGGGTTGTTTTAGTTAATTTAAAATAAATTTAGACATACATGTAAGAACATTTTGTGTGCGTTTAATTAGGTCGAACATATTATAAATGATAAATCAACTGAATTAAAAGCATACAAAGTGTTCTTATATGTCGGATATTAATTAAAAAAATATTAAAAATACTAGAAATAGTATATATTAAACGTTGTTACAGTTATAATTTAATCTTGGCGGTTTTACAGCAAATAGCAGGCAGTTTTATATAATTTTCCTCCCTTTGAAGTGAATTGGAAACGGCTAGGTATATAATTTTGGTGTAGGCAAGATTCCCAGTTTGTTCCGTTTTGGGACCTGAAATAATAACGTTAATCATACTGCTTTTGCAACATATTAATATAAAATGCGCGTCCTTAATTCCTTACATGCACCGTAAAAAGTTAAATAACTGCTCTGCAAGTACTAATTAAAAATCTATAACTGTAAGTAGATATAAAACTAAATTTACTTACCATTGTATCCTTCGCAAACCAGGTGTACAACAATTAAACTCCATGATAAAAATAATTAAGAGTTATTACAAAACACAAATTGTCCCACCATTTTTAAAAAAACATTGTCTAAAACAGAATACTGGCAAAAATCTGAAGACTTTAATTTTACAATAATTCGACAAATCAAAACGAAATCAAACCGTAAAATCACAACAAAGCTTCTCTGCCGACAGTTGTTAAATAAGAAAATGTTATTATTCCTAAAATAGCGATTGACAGTTTTAATATTTTGCGCCTCTGCATCTTGGAGGAAAAACTATTTTTAATGAACTCTCATTTCCATTTAAGTTTCCCAGCCATGCTCACAATGTAGCCACAGTATAGCATTTACGTATACACGTAAGGGATACACAGTGTGCCGTAGGATACACAGTGCTTGTGTATTATGTTTAAACTATGTTTACACATTGCAGTATACAGTGTGCCGTAGGATACACAGTGCTTGTGTATTACGTTTAAACTAAGATATTTATATTATGTGTATACGTCACATTTTTACAAGGTGTGTACACAGATAACGTGTGTGTACTATAGGCACAACTATGATACGAAGTATCACACATACATATGACTTATACATTGTATGTCTCATATACCGACGTCAGATTTCATCATTTTAATAATTATTTGTTACGTTACAAAAAACTCTTTAGAATCTTGAGTGCATAC